CATATATCATACACGCTTTATTTACAATGCATTCACATCGATAAAATTACAGCACATTTGCGTCAATACAGATACTTATACACTGCCTATCAAAAAAGAAAAAAAAAATAACGGCGCATCTCAAAGCAAGCCTTCTCACTCAGCAAAACTTTGTATATGCTACATAGATAAAAAGATGAAAAAATGATAACAGTATCACAGTACGGGAACCGTTTACTTGAGAAAATTTGTGTTTAAAACGTTAATATTTTGTAAAATCAAATGCCACAAATTTAGAATTATATCATTGATGTCGAGTCAATCATCGAGATCGATCGATTTTTCCGATAAACAGTGTATATTACTACTATACATTACATTTAACAAAAAATATCAACTTTTGTTTACCTTCGAGATATTTGCGAAAATTCGGAATTGAGTTCATGACTGTTAAACACGCTGCATTCTCATTTACATCGCAGAATTACATTTCCCCTAAATAATTTTTACATACTTGTAAAGTAAAATGGCTATAATTTCATTAAATATAGTCCTTCTATAAAAGTCGTTTAAATTATATTTTCATAAAATTTTTTTGCCTTTGCGGCACGTCGATTTTTCAGGCACAACGCTAAAAGCATTCTCGGCACGAAGAATACTTGAACTTTGTGTCATGCAAAGTTCGGGGCTCACTGAAGGGATCTTCCCGCATCGATGGCGCGCTACGAGTTTATGACGTACGTGATCCAGTCGACGGTCTTGGCTACGCGATGATAGATACCCGGTTGACCCGGCTGCGCGCAGGAGTAACCAGCGGAAACGATGCCAATGAGATACCACCGACCGGTTTTTTCCAACATCAACGGGCCGCCGCTATCGCCCTAAAAGTTAAGTGACTCATATTCCCGAGAAGATACATTATACTCGACAGGAAAAAAAAAATAAAGAAACAGAACGACGATTCATTGTTCAAATAGTACACGCCCACGGCGTGATGAAACCACTTACCTGACACGAGTCTTTGCCGCCGCTGCGGTAACCGGCACACATCATCTCGTCGTAAATGACGACGTTGATGCCGTTGGAGCGATGCCACCGCTCGCAGAGACGATTATCGATCACGGGCACATCCACCGCTTGCAATGTCTTGGGTCGTAATCTCGAACCTAAATAAAACAATTCGCAAGAAATTAATTAATATCTGAATTGAGAATAATATTTTATTTATTTTTTTTTAAGAATAGTATTTTTCGCAAGATAAAAAATAAAGACAATTATAAAATTATATATTTTATCGAGTAATTATAAAATTATATATTTTATCGAGTAATTATAAAATACAATTTTTCTTATAAAGCAGAAAATACCTGCTTGCAAAGCGCCCCATCCGGCGGCCCAGCCATATTGTCCCAGAAAATCTTCATTTTTCTCCGGTAAGCATATAGGCGCTATGTGGGGCATATAATGAACTGGTCGATCTAATCGAAGCACGGCTACATCAAACCTAGTAAATAAAGTAAACTAAGTAAAGTAAAAGAGACATGAGATCGATGAAATCATAATTATGTATTATTATGTATTATTCGAGACTTACATTTAGTAAATTTTTAGTAGATTAACAATAGTATAAAGCGAAAGTACCTATCCGCTTGTGGCGTGAATTTGAAATAAGGGTGCACTCTAATCTCTCGAACCCCAAAGGTGTAAGCTGGTAGAGATTCACTCGCAGAATTGACCATGTAATCACCAAGGGTGACTTGGACTTGTCGCGCCGTTGCTCTAAAATTTTTTTATTTAATATTTAGTACACAATGTATATTTTGTAATAAAATGAGTAATATTAATTGAAAGTTTAAACGTAATATTTAAATTTTAATTAATCGTGTATATTTACGTATAATTTTTTAAATACGAGAAGAAAACTCACTTTGCAACGCAATGTCCAGCGGTGACGACGTGGAATCGATTAACCAGAGTGCCGCCGCATCTGCTGGATCCGATCCGTATATAAGCCTGTCAATGTAAGAAAAATAATTTTAATAACAAATACAAACAAAGGTGTTTCGCTATTATCATGTCTAACCTGCCACGGAAAACTGCCGAAACCGGCATCATCGCCACCGACGATTCTTCTTTGTGCGATTTGCTTTGAAACCGGTATGCCGCAACCTGAAAAACGCAATTGCCTGGACTCTTGAGCAGTTAGAACACCGCCTTTATAATTAACGCGACTGTCAGTTTTAATTATCCGGCGCGACGTATTGCGCCAGAGTTGCCACATTTGCTTTTTCAAAATAAAAGGTAAGAATTAAATAAATTACGCCAAAAGAACAAAAGAGCTTGTGTATATTTTGCAATACATAATTAAAACAACGTTTATATGTATAATAGTTACATGTATAACGAAAAACAATTTAAACATATTTCTTGCAAAAATTTTTAATTCTTCTGAATTATAAGACGTATCTGGCAATTCTAGCTATGCTGCAACCGGCGATTACAATGATACGTAAGAGCTGAAACATAGTTCTATTACAATCAACGCTTTTAGAGTCGAGCCGCGCTGTCGAAAGCGTGAAGTAACCGACAGTGTGACAAAAATGGTTCCTTCCCGTTCTTGTATCGCCGAGATTGGACTTGGAGTAATGCGGATAAATGTCTTAATAGCGTTCCTTCCATCCGATTTCAATGTTGGACCGTGACACATAATTGTGTAACCAAGTATAATTTCAATAATAACGCTTGTGCAACTGCGAATGTTGCATTGATCATTCGCTTTCTCGATTATTGCCTCGACAGATAAAAGAAACGTTATTTATAATTATTGAGATGCTAGCTGTCAAGCCAAGGCTTCTGATAAAAAAATCTTGAGAAGAGAGCAGGTATAAATTACAATGTATTATAAAAGCAGCAGTTTGAAATGATAGTCTCTTTCACAACTGTCGCACGATTATTTAATTTTCGTATGTACAATCATGCAACATTATTGTCATAACGCTTTAAGAAGACTAAAACTTTCGAATCTTTGCTAACACCATTAGTATTAGAATAATTGATTACAATTATTCGAGCTGCGGAGAAGCAAACAAGTTTTTTAAATAATAATTAGACTATTTGAATTTTTAATCATGTTTAGTCTCTTAGTTGGTTATGTTGTTTGCGGATAATCCATGCGCTCATTAGTGCATCTTTTTGTACAAAATAAAAGCGTTCTCGTGCAAAAAACAGATGTTGCAAATGCAACAAAGCATTTTATCACGCTGTTTGTTTTTCCTTTTTGTAAAAGAAAAAGGGAAATCAATGCAAATCATTAATTTTACGAGCCGATGTCAATGCGAGAAGCGCGTTTTCACTAACAAGATAATTAATCCACGCGCGGCACTCATTATAATTCCTCCATCTATATGCTTGTTACGCTTTCTATCGTGTCATCCTTCATTGATTTTTTATTTTCACTATTTTTATTTGTTTATAATTATAATTACAGTTTATCAAGAAATTTCTTTTTCGCCTTCAAGTAGAGATCTGATTTTAATTAGATTAACTTTACATTGCGGTAAAAAAAAAAGTAAAAGGACCAAGGAGATAGCCATTTATAGTTGTTAACAGGCATTACAGGAAGTTCGGTGGATATCGTACAGAAACACAACGCGCTATGATATCATTAAAATAATTTCCGGGCCAACATGCGTGATAGAAGTTCATACAAATTTTTTTCAACATGCTTGGGTTGTATATCTTATGTGTGCATAAGAGGGAAGAAGGATAAGAAAGTAAATGTAAAGGAAGAAGAAAAAAATTTAGGACGATATCGACATCTGACGAAGAGAAATTGTGCAATTTCTCTGGATAAAAAGATTTGAAGAAAAATAGAAGTTCATGCTTGGAGCTGTTGCAAATTGCGGTGTTGCGAGATAATTGACAATGAAATATAACGGACAGAGGGAGAAAGGAAGAGGGCAAGAGAGAGAAAGAGAGCAAAAGACTGAAGAGACGAGGGAAGAATCCATGCTTGTAAGTGTGATGATAAAGTATGGAGGGCATGCTTTTCGAAGGAAGGACTTACGGGCGTCGTCGCTGGCGGTCTCCGTGTACAAATCCAGCGGAAGCGGCCGAGATTGATCTCTAGGCGACTCGATCAGATTATTATCAGTGAGAGCGTTAGGGTCTTTCCGCTGACAACACGCGAACATAATGCCGCCGCAGCTGCCGTCCAATAGGCCAGCAGTCATCCAGCACATTAGAAAAAATTCGCAGCTCCGTCCGTCCGCGCACAATGTATCATCGCCTTTCCACAGCGGTCTTTTTTGTTGGCGCGTCTCTGCAGAAAATATGGAAACTCTTGTCTTTCGCGGCTGTCAAGTTACGTGATTGTCCTGCGCGACTGTCAAGTTATCAGTGTACGACGCGGTCGCACTTCCTGTGTCCAGCCGAAGGAAACATATTTGGGCATATAATGCGAGATAAAGCGACCGCACTTTTTAGAGTACAAGCGAGTACAAACGATCTTTTGTACTAAAAGAATGAGATTATTGTGCAGCTTTGAAGTTTATCAATAAATTCAATGCATTTGTATGTTTTGTACTTTGCAATCACTAATTGGCTAAATTCTTCTTCTTTCTTAATTATTATTTCTTTTTTATCAATTAAATAATTTTAACCAGGCGAATTAAACATAAATATTATTTACGCAAAAATAATTATTATATGATTTTCAGATAGAGTTCTTATTTAATATATTTATCTTTCTTATTCCTATTACTCGTCTATATATAATTCATTATTTATATTCCCAATATGTATTCATTTTATACTCCATTATTTTGTAATGTTTCATACAAGTATATACACACACATATATACGTGTAATGACAACAGCGTACGTACTGAGTATAGACATCTGCGGCATGCAAAGCCGAGAAGATCCGATTTTGTTTCATGTCGCTACGTCAATTTTTCGCCGAGTTATAAGGTTCTAAAAATTGCGCGCGAGCGCACCGTATAACAATAGATTCGCCGCGTGACACCGTGCCCGCGGCATGTGTCAGCTGTTACGTAACTTATGCTTACTACGGTCAGCTGATTATTTAATTCGTCCCTACATGTGCTCGGCAAGGCCGCGACCTTGAAGCATGTGGCTACTTCCCTCGCCGGTCGGTAGATTTCGCCCTAGATCGGGACCACACGAGATTTCGCGGGTCGAAGCGACTGTCAATATATTCGCGGATGGAAGAATTGTAGCACTTTGAGCCGTGCTTATATAAGAGGTAAATCTCTAGCCTTTCTGAACTGAGCCCAGTATTATTTATCTTAGATAATAGATCTGTGAGATAGCATTGTTTAATTACGGACATATAATTAATCCTTTTTGTACGGCAGTGTAAAATGTGAAACGGTTACCGGCCGGCGCACCGAATTCATAGGTTAGGACGGCATGTATACATATTTCGTAACCGCAACAAGTGTTTTTCGGATAAGTATGTCAACTAATGCTTCTCAGAACGAGGTATGTATACGTTCTTAGTATACAGCGGACGTGTTTTTGAACGACACATGTATAAATACGATTCTCGTACCAAAAAGGTTAACCAAAAAGGCACGCTCTCGATAGAACTTTGAATGCTACTCTTCTCTTAATCAGATGTTATCAAAAGCTATAATTAGTAATGTCATTCAATTAAAGACATCGATACGATAACATATGCTAAACGATACATACGATCCTAGTATAAGGCTCGGTTATCAATCTAGAAAGTTGAGAAAATTGAGACACTTTGCATAAATGCCAATTTTTCGGATTGATATTTCGATGTTTTAATTATTGATAAATTATTGTAATTATTAATCAGTAATCAAAGAAACGTGAACCTGTCACTCTTATTCCGTCGATTACTCCAAGTCTAGTTTCAGAATAGAAAACGGTAACCGGCTCTAGAGCCGGTTTACAAGCAAAATAGAAAAATAGGTTAAGGTTTTAATTAGTCGAAATTATAAATGAAAGGATCTTTTTAATTGAATTGAGCACTGCACATTTCTAATTAAAAATTTGGATAATATTTAAAAAATATAATTTTGAAATATATATTTCTATTATAAAATGATACTTATATCTTTTGTGATGATAAATTATCTGCAAACGAGTTAATGATGGTATAATTTATAGTTACATTTATCGTGAAATAATTTCTTGACTTCAAACTCAATCAAAATAAATTACACAAAAGATTAAACCAACTCTGCTCAAATCACGGTAGAAATAAGTGCAATCGACAAAAAAGAAACATTGACGTGGTAATAATGTCATTCGTTTCTCGACGACAAGCTCTTCACAGCACGTAATCGTAAATGACTCTTGTACCAGGACAATCTCGGACAATCTACTGTCCGGCGGCAAAGCGTGCCGTCGATGATGTCGTAACGATTTCCGTGTCGTGAACCTCGACGGAAGTCGTCGACTGTGATAGAAATTAGTTTCACGCGCCACGGTTATTACGAAGTAGGACGTTGCGCGACTAATCGTCCGATTTTTACAAATAAGCGACAAAGTCACCGGGGCGATTAAGGTCCTCCACCACAGGTGGAAAGCACGAATTTAGAAATAATCGAAAATTTCTTAAAACGGTGCCATTGAAGATAATTATCTATTGATTTTTTTCTGCAATCAACTTTTACATACCTGTTTCTAACCTTGGATAGTCCTCTGGCGTCTGCTTTCGATGATCTGAAATATAAATACGATAATCTTCTAGAAAACTATAATTATTCTGAAAGAAAGTAATCTGTGGCCAAATAAATTATTTAATATTAGAAAAAATAATAAACAATATATAAAAATTAATTAATTTTAGTCTTAAAAATTTCTGAGATTGAAATTAATTTATTTTGATATTTTTTATTATTTTTGAGAAATTTTTGAAAAATTTCTGCCATTGCTTATACAATTATAATTGCTATTATAATACAGACATTTTACAATTTGTCGTACTTGCATTACATATCTTATCGCGTTTATGATCGCTTTATTTCAATCGCGTCGGAGATACGTGATGGTCTATTTGCAATTCAAATGCTTCGAAAGTTCCATATAACGCATCATTTGCATTTGCACGCTTCTCTAAGCACCTCATCGATGAAGCGCTATTTACACAGCAAAGAGGATTACAGAAGCGGCAGAATTACGCGAGCGTGCAAAGAATAAGAAGAAAGTAAGAGGGAAAAAGGAAATTAGGCGTTCGAAGAGGAACGAACTGTAATAAATAGGCGCATATCGTTATATTAAACGATGAGCCAAGTACATAAATGTCCAACTCACATTATATACGAGCAAATAAAATACAGAAAATATTATAATGAGAAAATCAAGAGATTACAGTTTATAATCCTAGAAATGGCAAGAAAGAAGAGGAAGATAAATCTCTACTAAAAATTTATGTTTTAAAAATTACAATCTGACAAAGAAAAAGACTAATTAAATTAATCCAAGCATAAGATTTAGATTAAATAAATAGGATGGAGAAGTTAAAATATTAAAGAAAATATATTATCACATATTAGAATAAACGTAAAAAAGGGCGAATCTTACCTCTGATATCATCTTCGAATTCTGGCAATTGATTCGAATGCTGGAAAAAGGTCGCGCCGCCTCCGATCAGCGGGAAATCGTTGTCGCGGAATATCAGTCGCGGTGATCGATGGGACATCACCGGTCTGTTGTAATCGGCGATCACAGGGCTTCTCCAAAGAGCCTTCTGTTGTCTCCACGAACCGGGGAACGGAGTCTGCGAGGTGAAACGCGTTCCGAGATTTCTACCGAGCGATGAACCACCTTCAAGAAGATAAGCGGATCCCGTGGGAAATCGCACGTATCTTCGTCGGCGTATCGCCATCATCCCGGTGCGATTCGTCTCGTTTCTTCGCACATTGACGGTCGAGGAATCGGAGCTCGCGAGTTGACGCACTTCGCTCACTATTAAGCTCGAGGAAAGACTCAGGACGACCGCTGCGAGAAGCCATTGAAGCAGCCTCGATGCACCCATCGTTTTACTGGAAAAAATTAAAAATTTTTCACAAATTTGCACTCATTAAATTTCAATTTTATTAGAAAAAAAATATATAAGAATATTGTTGAGATTTGTTTTTCGCGCTTCTTAATAATTCTTAGTTCAGTTAAAATGTATGTAAGGAGGTGGCGCGGATGTTAAATTGACACGCGCAAGGCAGTGCGCGGACACAACCGATTGCGTTTTGTTTAAAAGGTGTCATAGTCTAGTTTTTTCTTATATAGTTAGTTGCTTTATGGGCGCGGCTCGTAGTGCATACGATAACTCGTGTAGCAGTTTGTTAATTTTGTATTCAGTACTCGATTGAGTCTACTTCTATTTGTATTGTCTGTATGTTAAGTGGTTCAAGAATAAACTCGTTGTACACACTGTGATCTGCTCTTTCATAATATAGAATGAATTAAGGACAGAACTTAGTTTTTAACAAATATAAATTATTCAATAAGAGTTTGGAATTGAATGTCAAAAAATAAATTATTGCAGTTTTGCAACAAGACATATTTCAGCTTGATCAAACGTTGCAAATTACATAAAACGAGGTAAATCTAACAAAAGTGATATTTCCAAGTTTGATAATACTTGAGGATTTTAGATAATCAGTTACTATTTGATTCAGACTGATTTTCTCTTCGAGCCGAGTTTCACGAGTCGTTAATCATCATTGAACGCTTTAGAGTGCTGATTCCTAGCGAAAGGAAATGCACATTGCTCGGATTCGTAACCAAGTGGAATCGTCGAAGATAGTCTACGTTGAAGAATGCTACGTTAACCCCACGCTCGTATCCGCAATTATCGGTAGTGGTTTCGCGGTGAATCGAAAGAGAACTTTCTTTTGGCACGAACCGTTCGCGAGCATTGCTTTGGTATATAAAGCAATGAAAACAAATAAACAGAATTAAGTTATATATAACATATTTTACAATTTTGATATTGCTATAAATAATTTAATGTGACGGAAACGAAATGTGAAAAATATCCGAATTTTATTCAAGTAAAATTTGCTTAAAATTAGATATCTGAAAAATATTTCAGATGTTCATTGATATTTCATCGCGAAACATAATTTATTAAAATTATAATTTTCAATCGCTTGTAATTTGTGAACTGTCAACCATTTCGTAGCCAATTATTATTTCATTAAACTTAGATTCTATTGTTTGCTATTCAGATTTAGCGTAAATGGGTAGAAGCACTCTATTGTGTAAAGTAACGCTTGGAGGCGAGCGAGGCAAAGTGGAAAATAACTTCCTCGTGGGCCGTGAATTCCTCTCCGCGCGACGAGACGAAATCCAGTTTGCGTCACGATCCTTCGTAACGAGTGAAAGTAAAGAAGTTCACCCGGAACCGAACATCTCGACGTTTATACACGAGAAGATTCACTACGAGCGTTTAAATCTACTAACATCACTGCCGAATGAAATTATCGCCCATCAACAGTATTAACGAGAGAAAACGACGCGCTAGTTGCGATATCTTAAAGAAAAGATTTTCTCATCTATTAATACCTTTAAAGCCTGGAACTTATAAATTTTTATATTTCTAATTGCTTATAATTATTTATAGCAACATTAAAACTTTAATATCTTTAGAAAAAATTAACTTCAAATTAATTCGAGAATTTATATACTCTTAAAAAATGGATATAATGGATAGATCTTTTCTAGTTTTAAACACAGAAATTAAATGCGCAGATAAAAGGAGTTCTCCATATACGATTGACGTTGATTGATCGCTGCCACGCGTTCGTCTAGAGTCTAGACGAACGCGTGGCGACTTTCGAATCGCCGGAAAGGTTAAGAAAAGAAAAGAAAAGGTGGAAGGATATAATTGTTCGTTAGATAATCCTCGATGGACGACCTTGGCGGGCCAGCACCAATCGTGGTAGCGCGAGATAAACGGTTCGATGTGTTAGTAGGTCATTGGCTCTCCGTGGATCCAGAAGTGAAAGTGTAGTTCTTGCGTGCACGACAGTGTGAAGTTCACGTTCACGCAGTGCCACCGCCGTCCCGGCGACGGAAGTTACGAACCGTTGCCTGCATCGTTCTTGAAGAGTCGCCCGCCTTTTGTTCCCCCTATTTATCCCCTTTGTTCCCTGCGAATGCGTTGCCGCGAAACGCGATGCGAAACGCACGCGAATTTCGTTGCGCACGGCAAGTTTCACCGTGAAAGTGTTCGATTACTATAACGCGATTGCTTTTTGCCTCGACCTTCATAATTCCCGACTTCGTTTTTTTTTTTTCTCTCGCGGATTACAGACGATGGAACACTGTGATTTTTTAAATTTTCAACTCCGCCCAGCTTGATTTGCGTAAAAAACGAGTGATGCATATTAAATTGTGAAATCTACTGTAAATGTCCTTCATCGTTCTGCATGTACCAAATAATAGTGTATTTGTTTTTAAATTGCTACTTTGTGTTTCGATTATAATTTAATTACACGTCTATTTGCTTGAACGTCGGTACTGTATTTCCCAATTTATTAAAAATTATAGTCACGGCAATTAATTCTTGCGATAACTTGCGGAGTTGCAAATTCTGACCGTGTCGTCTACCGGCTGACGACGTCGCGCGTCTGCTTCCAGCTGTCAGTGAAAGCTTGCGCGTGCAAACACCCACACAAGATCGCGGTTTCCACGACCGCATCCTTTTCCTTGTCTGTGATCCACGCACAGAGCGAGATCTCGAATTCCACGTGGATCGACATTAAGAGCGAGAAGGCAAGCGGACCTCATTACTTTCTCCTGACGCCGCGCGTGAGCGGCGCCTTTACTTTCGCCCAAATCGAAGGATAATCGTCTTATCGTGCGTTCCGCTGCGCTAGGATCGGCCAATTTTCCTCTTCGTGTACATTCTAATAGCAATGGAATCGGTCAAGCGTCACGCAAAAGAACTCTACTCGCGCACTACCGAGCGGCGACGCGATGCCACGGACGATACACACGAACTTGAATTTATATAATTAATAAAACTAAATAATATTATCGCGCTGAATCATCAATGTAAAATGAAATGCTATTACATCCTGCATGCATTATTAAACATATCGTTCGTGTATTAACGCAGCTAATTTTCCGTATAATTTCCATATAACGTAACGGTGTCAGAGTAAAATATACCGCATAATTGCATATTATATATTTCAATAAATATATAGTTATAAATATAGTTTAGTGTTGAATGTATTAATATACGGTTTAATTCGCATAATTGATACTCCGTTTTACTAAATTATGATTTTTTTATATTTGTGATATGTAATTAATAATAGGAATATGCTATGATTGGTTTTTGCAACTTACAATCAACTTTCAAGATCATTTTACTTGCCATTTGTATTATAACATTTATTAACTTTATTAATTGCATCTAAATGATCGTTAAAGTAATAGCTAACTTATTATGATCCACTGATATGCGCTATATGAATTTATAAGATAGATATGTGTGACAAATGAAGTCTATTTCCGTACAAATTTACGACTAAAGAGAGACGCCTTGTCCCAATCCGTTGTCGCAACTGCTGTCGAATATAATCACACGGATGTAATGAATACGTGACATCCTCTAGTCCATTCTTTCTGCTTCATTTTCGTCTCACTCGCAGCGAAGCGCTTTACTCGCGAGCGACAGACGGCATAGCACGAAATTCGGCCTCGTGAATGCGTTTGGAAAACACAAACTCCCGTTTCCTTTCGGAAGATAGAAACCGGTTTCTTCTCCGAAGAAATCTTGACGTCACAGCCACTGATCTTATTTATGGCCTTGAGAAGAGTAGGCATTTTCGCGGTCTAATTCACCGATATCTTTCGTGACGAACACTTTCCATTGTGTAACGAATCTTTTCGCGTTGGCCATTTTTTCTGGGCCGTTTTCAGACTCAAAGGCGATGGATGCGCGATTACATTGTACGATCACTTTTCAAGGAGTGATGTAAATCGCGCGAAATAAAAAAAAAACGCTTTTCCCGCAAACGAAGGTCAATAGAAATATATCCACTGATCCACTGATAAGCGTCTACCTCTCAGAATTCGGTGCTCGGGCTTCCACGACTTAGACAATCTAAAAGAACGTACGAGCGTACGCGTATCCCTCTCTGTGTCCACGTTTCACTTCAGACCTCTATCGAATTTTGTTACGTAAACCACGAGGAGTGTTTGGGCAACGTGTGTACAACGGTACCGAAGCGTACATCCTCAATGCGCCGTCGCGAACGTTTCGTTTTGAGAAAGAACGGAAGTACTTTCACTGCCTACGAGGATGGCAACTTAAAAAACCGTCTCGCAGGTGACACCACAGCCACGTGATGCAGAAAATCGCGCTTTAAACCTGCGATCACGCGGTCTCTTGTGAAACCGTGCCTCCCTTCCGAAATCAACGGCGACTTTCTTTTGCGAAATTAACAAAAATGTACCTACCATTTTCAAGTTCACGTGAGGGTTTTTAAAAAGCAGCTTTTTACTTCGCTTTGTCTTGAATACATTTTTGCGTAATTTGTGCAAATTGAGAAAGTAGAAGTGAAATCCCCATTTATAATAATTATATCAAATTTCTTCGAAAAAGCATAATAATCTAATAATATTACCATAATAAGTTTCATCGGAATTGATCATCATAATTTATTAAAAGATAAGTTATGAAAAAACGAAGCATAATTAATAAACATAAGTATCTAATGATTGAAATCCAATTGGAGTATGCTTTACAGAGCATGCGCCTATTACTGAGTCTATATATATATATATATATGAGAAACCGCTAACACGATGCGGTTATTAAACTTAATTGGTGTTGGACGAACTTGAAATCCAGGTTGAGAACGAATGTGGCACCGATCGCCTCCATGCATCAAAATCACCGCACGCACCGACTTGCGCTTTTCGCTTAACACACTTTTTATACGTAAGAGACGGCTGATAGCCTCTCTTTGGAAAGATAGGTGCTCTGCACGAAGGCGATCTTGCTTTCTCTCTGCTTTTATAGTAACTGCCGTTTAATCAAACATTAAGCTTAACGAAACGAAACGAAACCAAGCGTACCAACCATTCTATATGCCTTCACCCATTGCGCGCCGATCTCGATAATAAATCGAATAAATTTCATCTGCTTTGAGATGCGGTCTTTGTGTATACGATTTATCGTTCGTACAATCAAGCATACGAGGAAACATTACGAGAGAAAGTTTTCGTTTTCGAAGCTGAGCCGATTACTTTACGCAGACCGATTTTTTCAGTGTTAAAAAATGCAAGTCTTTATCAAGAGATAAATCCCGCAACGCGTCACGCTATGTTGAAGAAAATATCTGTTTTTTTTTTTTCTTCTGCTGGAGAAGAAACTGTTTGTTATTTCTCCGCGGTAATGAATTATACATACAATCTAATTGTGAATCTTAAATTTCGTTAAGAAATGCGATAATTGTTTTCTTTTCGTCGTTTAACGATACTCTCTCTTTTCATCGATTAAGAAAATCAGATTGATTCAAGTTCAGACTTTAATCTTGAAATCGCTAATAGAAATCGTAAATACAATTTTACTCGTTTCTTATTTATTATATAAAACTAGTTTATTGCATTTTTGTTTTTTTTTTTTTTTTTTTTTTAATATAAAGTTCTAAGATTAGAAAATAGAAAACACGAGAGGAGGACGAAATAGCCCAACAATCAGCGATTTACAAAAGAGAAAGACAAATCGTCGCGAGACTGCACTCACCGATTCACTAAATGTGACCTTCCTGGATTTCTCCTCGATTGATCGAACGATTTCTCAGGGGGAACCCGCCAGGACACCACTCCTGCCACCCTCTCTTCTACGACCTCTTCATCCGCCTCGTTCTGACCGAGGCAGTCCTCAACACCATAACACAACCAAGAATATCGTTGCGGCTGTTCTTCGTATCACCGCCTTAATTGCCGAGGAATTTCTCCAATTCCCTCACGAATCCTCGCACACTCACGAATTTGCCCGGAATACCGGGAATAAAGTAACAAAAAACTTCTCTTATGCGGTTACACTTCCGAAACTACTACGAAGCTAATATCTTCCTTGCATGATTTCTCGTTATCGCAACGAAGTACGATAAGGCTCTGTCGCTTCAGTGACTAACGAGGCCGCTTGAAATCTTCAAAACGATGCGAATTTTCACAAATTTCTGCTGTGCTTCTGGTATTTTACTATTTTTCATCTTCCGAGTGTTATCCTCACTCTTTTTCCACTCCTTTCATTTCTCTCGATTTCTATTGGGAAGCCAACATTGTTCATCCACGGATGTTCTTCAGACTCAGCGTATTAATTCGATTCTTCCGGAAATAATTTCTTGATTGATTGAAAATCCGCGAAACGAGCACTCCGTGGTCCTTCCGGGTGGACACGACCGATGGAGCGTGTCGGTTACCATGCGGTGCACGCCGCGTGGATGGCTCGCACCATGTCTATTCTCTCTTCTTCAAGGAGGCCCGAAGAACTCCTGCCTTAACGTCGTCGTCGTCGGTGTCCGCCGCCGGCACCGCTACGTCTGCTGTCACTTTCTCCGCCGAGTAGTTTCGTTTCGGTACGTAAAACTCTCTCGCGGCTCACCCCACCAACGCTCGCGCGCGAGGCGATAGCCCGCGTCTCGCCACCACTCCTCGATACATGAACCAGAAAAAATTCAACTCGCGCCCGGCGTGGAGGACCGAGGATTGTCCTTTGATGAACTGGCTCACTTCTTCCGATACTCCTTCTTTTATCCAACCGCACTGACCTTTCGTAATACTCGACGATAGTGGGAGTAGGAATTTCCAGGAAGGATATCCTCCGGAACAATTAATTTCAATTCTTGAATAATAGATTTTGTTAATTCATTATCTTGCAAAAATTTTGCAATAACAATAATACATCTATAATAATTCCAATATATTGTATTGAAGAATAAATAAACACTCAATCGTCATGCAGATGAAATAATGTCTTTGGAAATTTATCCGCGATTGTCCCGATGGGTTAATGACATCCTAATGTCATCGAGATCCACGATGGACCGTTTAATCTCCCGCCGCATTGTTCCTTTGTTCGCTAATGACTTCCACAGGATGAGCGTACAAGCACCTAATTTTGTTGACGTGCTAGAAAGTTACAGACACCTAACATCTCTATTTTATTAATCGAGGTGAGAGTTCGCGCGCGCGTATTCCAAAAAGCGAATGAAAGTACATCGCAAATGATACAGAAATTTTTACATGATTTTACGAAAATGCTTTGTCTCCATTACAAAACGTCTGTAAAGTTTATCAAGTAGTGATTGAACATATAAAGATGGATATAACATTTTTTTAATCAAATATCGGTTTGCTCGTTGCACCATGAGAATCCAGAAGAGTGAACTTGCGATTTGTACTTCCGTTTTTTTACGGTTTGCTAGGCTGCAACGAATATTTAGGAAGTAGTACTTTTCCTATTTTTTGTGGAAAAATGACAACAACCGCGCTTTTCCTGTCGAAAAACGGCGATAAACGCTATGGTGTTTATTTTGTTGAAAAATGGCGACAAACGCTATCACACTTTTTTCTCTCACGTTTTTTATCACACTATCAATTTTGTATTTAAGGATAGCTCTATGAAACAATTGCACGATTTAATGTATTCTCTATTCTCCCATATAATTGAAAAATTAACTTGGCTTGCAAAGAGTGGGCTACAAGAAAAACGTAATTGCGCTACATTGTGCGCAAACGATTAACCGCAGCTGACGCAATTTTAAGACTAAACCATTATTTCATCGAAAAAAAGCATGAAAGGTAGAAAAGTATTTTAAACTTTGCGAGTATTTTAAATTTTCTACAAAAAATATCGCTTCTATCTCATGCACTTTTAACAATTCTATTTCCATTTGTAAACGTTAATTAAGTCTATTGTCCAATTAATTATGTGTGTGGTTATTTGATATAACTAGGCTGGCGTAATTTCAATCTTGTATTCGATTATATTCAAGCTACGACGCAAGACTCTCGACAGAACCACAGCTCGTTAGACAATTCGACTCATTAAGGACATAAAAGGTGTCATTTTATCCAGGACGCTCTCGTTTTAGTAAATTTACGACGTTTGCGGGCATCAGGAAATCGCTCCGCCGTGAATTATTATTTAAGCGGCGGTGAAAGTCGGTGACGAGCCGAGGTGAGACGGGACAATCACAATAAGATCATTTTTCGGCGTGTCGTTGTAAAACTCTAATGTGCCACTTCTACGCTCGGACTCGCGAATCTAACGCGAGGCTGAAATTCGTGCGCAGCTTTGCCATCGCGATGACAAATCGTCCTGATCGCCTTTAAAATCCGCTCTGCAAGATTGTCACATTCCTACGCGCTGACTGTGTAAATTACGGATCTTGCGGATCCGTTTCGATAATATGTGACTGCAAGGACATGAAGTAAAAACGCACATTTTTTCAATGTGCTGCGAATTGAATTCTGAAGAAAAAACTTGCGAAGAACTGAATGATATTTTGTGATGAAAATGCATGCGTGTTTTACAAGTTGATTCATCAAATTATAACTTTGGAATCTCAGATAATTTTGAGTAAAAAGTTGACAGTGATGTCGCGTGACAATGTGATTGATGGGAAAAATTAGAGAATTACAAGATTTAAAAACAAAATTATATACATTAGTGTAACGAGTAACAACAAGCTATACGCTTAGATTGTTTATAAACATTATTATTTTTACTGTGTAAAAATATCGAAAATTTATGCAAATTTGATTCTAGATGAAAATGAAAGTAGGCAACGTCATATGCGTCATATTCAGTATATTATTAGCTCCTTTCTCCTCTTTGACACCGCTGACCAAACATTGGATTATATCCTGTTACACGAACTATCTCTTTACGTAAAGAATCCGGCTGTTTTAACCAACAAAATTAAAACACATCCGCGTTAGTGAGAGTGACATTAAATAAAGTCATTGGAAATCCCAATAACTGTTTTAAATTATAGTTTTTTTTTGCTTTCAATTAGAAAGACTACAATTAATTCGTTTAATTGTTAATTTTAACACTTTAACTTTCGATATCACAAGTTGAATAACGATCGATGAGGCTCTTTAAAAGCGGCAAATGGCCTTTATTAGAAAGAAAGATCGGTATGAAAAACGTGTTCAATTAAGATCGAAAGTGTTCTTCGACGAGATCTCGTCATAGAGAGCTACTCGCGGTAAGAATGTCGCGATTGAGAATGCGTGCAAGGTGCGGAAGAATTGGGTCGAAACTGGAGAGTACGATCGCGAGATTATCGATGTTCCTTTTATTCGTCTAAACGAGTCGTCTAGCACCCGCCTCTAGAGTCAACCAGGTATAACTTTCTCCGTGAACTTCGAAAGTCCGATGTATCCATCGGGGTTTATCGTGACTCGACGACGGCTTGGAGAGCTCACCGCCGGAAATCGAAGAGTTTCTTCATCTGTTCTTTCAATATCCCTCTCAATAACGACTATAATTCCGCGCGGATAATTAGTTTACTGCTACGTGAAAAATCGCATTTTTACAATTTTAATAAGCAAGCAAGATGAAAATGATGATTTTTTTCTTATTCTTTCATCTTTATACCTGCAAACTCTCTCTCTCTAAAAATAGTAAAAGTATCTATAAAACAAAGTACTTTAAATAATATCTTTCAAATGTTATTTTGTAGATTGCAATTATAATGAATCATTCTCATTCAAGCTACAATAAGAATTCTAAAAAAAGAGTTCACGCAAATCCTGAGCGATTCGTAACGAATTTATGAATTAATATGGAAATATCGACATTGAAAGGAAACGGTAACGTGACGCGTATTATTACGTAATGTCGAGGAAGCCCAGGATGCCGGAATGCAATTAGGCGGCGCCGTTGTATTGCATAGTCTTTTCCGTATACGTGCCTGCGCAACTATTGTGACGTGAATAGATAAATACCGACGAAATACGACAGCTATCGCGCGTCAGTGAATGGAGTGACGTTGCGCGCGCGCGCGCGCGCCGCGCGTGTGATAGCCGTTATCCTTAATAATACGTCATTAATATTATAGTACGTTATCCTTAATAATTCGTCATTAATATTATAGTACGCGCGTGTCATTATTTTCTAACAAAAATCAGCAGATTTAATGTAGTATATAATTATATTAAATATAATTATATTTAATATAATATAATAAAATGCGATTATATGTTTTATATATTTTTTATTTGATTTTTAAAAATTTTTGTCTTTGTTGTTATAATCGACACGACTTATATTCCACAAATCTACATTTTAGCATTTTTCAAAGTTTAACACAATCAAATAATCTCTTATCGCCACCGCTTCAGCAGGATTTCGCAAACCAACCGCAACTATGATAACACTGTATTAAAAGTGTACTGAAAGTAGTGGTTTAGCGAAGTCAGTGGTTAAGCGAAATCAGTGGTTCAGCGAATCAAACTATTATAAGTGAAAATTAGTTAAAAACACTTTGTGATTAAAATGAGAAAAAGTATTCCCCTATGAATTCAATTTATTGCATTTTAGATTTATTGTTCACGTTGTTTGTTATCACAACTTTTTGTTGATAAATAATAAAGATTGTTAACATTTAAAATATATATATATATATATATATATATATATATATATATATATATAA